AGAAATTGTTCTGTTTAGGTTAAAATGATAACCCCATGTCAAATACAAGTCTCTAATTCGGGAGAGCTCCTCTGTGTGCTAGCAGGCGCTAACAAGGAGTAAAAAATATCATCCAAATGTGTCATGACAAAAATTATAGTCAGAAGAACCTGAGAGAAGAAGCTGAAGTTCTAATCCCAAAGACCTTGTCGGACTGTGAATTACAGCAGGGGCTTGAAGTTCTCTGCAGAATCAATGTTTTCCATTGTCTTTTTTTTTCTGTCAGATTGCCAGCACCATTGGTCCAAAACTATTTGTAGTCCAATGAGTGTTATAGAAGAGTGGGACATGACCCAAGAAAAAAACTATTATCTTCCACTTACAATAACAGTCTCAGTGAATGGAAGCTTAACTGATACTCAGCAGAAAAAATGGTGAGGTACAAATGTACCTGTTCCACCGATGGAAGCTGAGATTAACAAATGCCCAGCACACTCACTTTAATCTGACTTTTAATTTAATTCCAGGGTATTTCGGCCACTTTCTACAGCAACTTTGTGATTTATCTTTTTCTTTTATTTATTTATTTTCAACAGTACTGCAGGGAAACTCTTCTGGCAGTGTGATAAGGATCCATTTGTCACAGAGCACAGATTATCACCATGCAGTAATCTAATTTTAGTTTTATGCTGCATGTGATGTGATATCTTTGTGATTCATTAACATAAAATAAATTAACTCACTAAAACTGCATGGTGTAAATCTGAAATCTCGATTTTAATATTCTGCATTATGTCTGGTCTCTTGTTACCTACCAAAAGTAGTTTTTGTATATTTTCTATATATATTGTATATCTTTTGTATCTGTTTACTTCCCAACACTCTTCTTCCACTATATCTACAGAACATATGCCATATATACATGCATCAGTGCAGTATATTTACAGTATATTGGAGTAGCTTATGATTCATTGTAAAACATCTATTGACATTAATGATGATGTTAAATTCAATAAATGATACACAGAGCTCTATGTCTATGAACAACTATATTTAAAGAACAGCATCTCAGCTAAATGCCTCTCCACATGGTCCAATCACTGGCCTTTTAGTAACCTTTAAATGGACCGACTACTTCCCGCTGTACAACAAAAGTATTAACATCAGGCAATGACAAGTGCTGCTCCTGAGCCATCAGCCTGACACGATCACAGCCTCAGTGCTGACATTGATCTGCTGCTGCAGAGACCAAAGCCTTAGTGGCACTGCAGAATAAGAAGCTATGAAAGCTGAAGGACAATCTGCCTGTGAGTGGCCTGACTCCAGGAACAACTATCAATTCTCATCAAGAGGTTTCACGCCGCAGCTCCCTTTCTCCCTCTCCATTCTCCTTCCTTCTCGACCGTCCATTTATCCTTCTTGTGTCTGTATTTTCTTTCATACATCACTCACAACCATCCGCCGTCCCTTTGCCTCTTCGCTGCACAGCAGGCCATAACTGCACGACCCCATCTCTCTCCGCCCAAAGAAGCCATTACACCACAGCATCCTCCCTTTGTCTTCATCCACCAATTCAATCTGCCCAGCCATCCATCCAGCCAAATATTCACAGACCCCCTGGCTCTTCTATCTAAGCTCATCATGGGGGTTTCACGGCCACTCGCTTGCTTTCAACCTGGAATTATAGTCAAGGAGACATTACACCTGTGTGAGTTTGTGTACGACGAGGGAGAAGAAAAGGCTATAATGCATCCTTCACCGGATGGTATATTTATTTTTATTTCTTTTTACACCTTAAGGCAGAACCAGCCCACACCTACCTTTGAGTTACATAAGTGCAATAACAAGAGGAGAGGAGGTTGGAGCAGATAGAGAGAGAGAGAGGGAGAGAGAGAGAGAACCAGTGACTCTGGAGAATGGAGAAGAATGAGGCAGGAGGTACTCAGTGCAACATGTCTCCTTCCCACACTGGTTAAGTATCAGCCCACCATCAGCCTGAGGAAGGAAAGACCAGCTTCAAAGAGGTAACTCCAGGAGTTTCAAGGTGATATCCAAGGCCTTTTAATACAACTTTCAAAAGATTTCACAGTTAAACTCTCTGGTTAAACTATATGGACTCTGAGCCAGTGAGAAACAGTATGTCACCCAGCACAGTGAGCTCTGTAGAAAAGCTTCAAACACATCTGCTGCAACTCCGTTTAAGGAGCAATTAAACCACATGCAGGATTTAATCCAATACAGTCAACTTTTAACAGCAACATACAGAGGATTCTGAACTTCACAGCAACAAAGACAGACTCATCAGGTCAGTGGTTCAGGGTGTGGTCACCTCTTTTCTTTGGCTATAACAACTCTCTTTATAGGTATTGGGATATTTAGAGGCTGAATACCAAAAAAAAGTCCAGGCAGAGTAGTGGGAGCTGAGAAACGGTGCACTTTACTCGCCCTAGTACCTTAAAGTTGGGATAGAGGTGTCAGACAACATCCCGTCTGTCGAAGGAAAAGGAGAGGAAAACATGAGCAGCAGACAATTAAACTCCAAGCCATAGGCTTCTATACCCTCCTCCTATTCTGCCTCACTCGTCTATCTCACTTGTTCATCTCCTCTTACCTCATCACCCACTCTTTTTCGCAGAATTCCCAAAGCTATCTGATATCAGCGCTTTGATTCTCTTCTGTTACCAAAGGCTTTCCGGAAACTGATTGAGTGTCTCTCCCTGGACTGCAGTATGGTGTTGACCTTGCAATGTCAGTGGGCTCACATTTCCTCAGAAGAAACTCTAAACCTTTTAAACAAGCTGGCCCCGAAACTCACACAGACACACACACACACACACACCCCAGTCTAATCAATTTGTTATTACAGCAACATCACAATTATTTTTTTGAACTTCTCTAGCAAATCTAACCTTGTATGTACACAGCTGCAGTGTTTGTCTTTCATTCACTCCAACGTGACCTTCAGGTCAGACAAAACAAAATAAAGCAGTTAAAACCTTCAAAAGCTTTACTTTTCTTTCACTCATTCTTTTAACAGAAGCAAGAGTCATTTCAAAGCTGTGTACACTTGAACACACAAGTCAAAAAGTCGACATGTGTCGTAACTCACCATTTATGGCAGAATCCTTTCCACTTTCCTTCACGCTGGGTAAACAGTTTTCCAGGTAAACTCCATTGTGATAACAACTGTCCCCGTCTCGAAGCTGAGGCGGCGGTTCCCAGCACAAACACGGAGTCTGCATGATTCCACACGGCCTGCTGGAAGTGCTGGAGGCCAGGCAGCCCCCCAGCCACTGGCACAGCATCTGACAGGCAGCCATGCTGGGGTTGCGCTTCCCCACAACCAGGTATTCGGTTTTGAATTCCCCGTCCCCTTCATCTGATATGACTGTTCCTAGACGAGGAGAACCTTTCCTCATCTGCAGGAATTGTTTCCCAGCCTCGAGAAAGGCCACCGGAGCAGAGGCGTCACAAATCTTCACCACCTCGTCGAAGCTCTCCATGCCCAGGTAAGTGCGTGTGGTCTCCAGGAATGAGTCGAACTGAAAAGTGCGTAGCTGTGATGGCACGCAGCCCTCCGTAGGTTTGGTGACCTTCAGGAATATGGTGTAACGCCTGGGATCAGGGTTTTGCAAAGTCCAGGAGCACGGCAAGCTGGGAAACACTGAAGATGAAAGGAAAAAGCCAAAGAAGCGGCTCTGTACTAATGTAGAACAGGAGTCGGACTCTGGGCCTGAGGGGGCTGCGTAACACTGACCCTTCATCAACAGCAGAGGGCCAAAATACAGGAGGAGCAGTGGAAAAGGCCAAAGCACCGGGCCATGAATTTTTGAAACACTTCTTGCCATGTTTTGGTGATGAAAGCGAGGGAGAAAGTGCCAGCTGCTTGATTTTTTTTCCTCCACTTTAAAGGGGGTGGAGAAAATGAGTTGGAAAATGAGGAAGGAGACAAAACTGTCTCTCAAAGATCCAGCAATAGGCCCATGGTTGCGTCGGTCGTCCTCGAGATCCCCTGGACCCTGGGAAACAGAAGAGACGATATATGAATTACACTTTGTATCTCATCAGACAACGGAATGGGATTAAACTGATTGGATTTATTTCTGCGATGAGAAATCTCTAGCAGCTATTATTGTTTGTGCTGTAAGATGAGAGCCACTGCAGCGACTCTGCCCCTGGGGGAGAGCAGCGAGTTTGATAGAAGCAGATGGAGCGAGTGATTTACTCAAGTTTTTCCTCATTACACAAGTTCATATTGGCCTCTTCCTTGGAGACGACTGTTTCCCTCACACGTCTCCTTACATATTTCACCTGCCAGTTCATTAATTTGTCCAATTATAACACAATTGATGAGAAAAAGGGAGCACCTGCTGTCATTTATTATTCTCCTTCATTAGGACGAGCTCTTTTTCGACTAATAAAAGGCAAAACAATTAGCTAACTTTTCTCCTAAAATAAACCAGGAGAGGTGTTTTTCACGTCTGGGCAAATGACTTATTTTGCACTCCGTCTTACCTGAGTAGCTCAGCTGATTAAAAATAGTGCAAAATCATTTTTTCTTTATTGACATGATGTGACACGTCTGAGGAAAACAAGCTCATCTACATCTTTAGTCATGTCTGGCTCCTTGACCAAAAAAAAAAAAACAAACAAAAAAAACATGCATTTTAAATGTGCTATTTAAATATACTCTCCTGTAAGAGGATGTGAACCATTGTCATCAATACAACTAAATGGAAGGTCTTTGAATAAGTGCTATGGTAATTTCTACAAGCTACAAACAACAAAGCCAAATTCAATAATGTACGTTCTGGAGCTGTCACCTTTCCTGGTAATTAAATTTTAACACATTTTCTACACCACTGTGTTTTCTTTGAGATCCAACCTGGAAGTAAAGACATACAGCCCCTAGATATGAATCATTTAAGTATCTATTATAGCATTCAGCATGCAAGACGCCAACTAAGGCAGATTTGTTTTGATTGATTGATTGACTTAATAAAAATCCTATTTCATATCAAAATTTATATCAGAAATTCTATATTTTTTGTGACAGTAATGAGCTGGGTCACTCCCCACCACAGCCTTCTGGACCATCTCGGCACAAAACAATGCTTAAAATATAGTTTCAAAAATCACTTTGGTAAAAAAAATTTAAAAAATAATACATCTAGAAGGACCTCTGGAAAAGATACTCAAAAAAATATTGGATTTGATGGATCTGTAGATGTGAGATCTAAATACCCACGTGTCACACGGCCTGAACTGCACCGCAGGTTGCAACACTGTGATTTGAGAAACATTCCAAAAAGAGAAAAAAAAATCTTAAAATTATCTCAGCACCTACGCAATGGTTTTAAGGGATAAATCATTCTTCTTTCGTACAACGGTCACCATGTTGAAGTTTAATGTCCTCTAAGTCACATGACAGTACAAAAATACACCCTCAGACAAATTCAAGGAATGAGAAAAGAAAAAAAAAACGTGTCCGTGACAGGGACAAATGGAACCACTGGATCTATACACTGCTGTGCTGTATAGATTTCTATTGAAGAAACCCTGATGGCTGCAGTGAGCACTCACAGTGCACAGCCGATGTAGTGAAGCCAAGCACTGATCAATCATAATGATCTGAGAGGGATCTAGTGTCTGTGTGGACGTGCCACTGGTACAGGGACATTCTCTGGAGTCAAATTCAGATTGAAAGATAAAAAAAAAGTAAATGTAAATAAGTCCTTAGAGACAATGGAGCTGTGTAAATAGATTTTACAGTGAACAACGCTGCACCACGAGAAGAGACGTGTTTTTTTCTGAACTTGATAAAGGGAACTTTAATTACACCCTTCATATGGTCCTGAAAAAAAAAGCACAGTGTTATTGCTTTTTATTTTTTTATTTGTTTGTTTTTTGCTTAGAAAGTTTTTATTTTTACACTCTTTTTGAATTAAAATATAATATTCTCATGATTTAGGAGTTTTATTGTTATTTTACCTTATGGGAAAAAATGTTTTTTAATTAGTTTAAGAGGAAGACTTTATTGAGGATTTAGGATCAGTTTTACGCATTCAATTTAAAAGAGAGGTCAAAACCTGTGAATTTAAGAACAAAACAGTTAAAACAACTTCACACACGACTGTAACCTTGAAACCCCAAATCAACCATTTGGAATCATCTGCCTAACCTTCATTATCATTGAGAAGCCATCAAACTTCTGACCTCAAACTTCTGACCTCAAACCTGCCTTTCAATGGTGTAGAGTGACTGTCACGCAGTCAGTGTTAAGTCCACAATATTGTTCGCTCACTAAATGAAGTGAAGATTTAAAAGTGACCAAATTCAACTTCATGGTTAATTTCATCGTTTACCACCAGAGCCATGTCTTCCAGCACAACCACTCATAATGATTCGGCTTCGACCACTTCCAAATCTTTTTGCCTCACCTAATTCCAAACAGTATCTGGGGAAAACAGAGCAGGACTCTTTCACTTGACAAACCTGACGTTTATGAAAAGAATACAACCTACGGCTGAAAGGCTGGGCTCTTATTGACATCTCTGCCTCATGCTCCATTTCACACACCCAGCCCATCCCTCTCTCTCCCCTCCAACCTGCCGTGCAATGACATGCAGCTCGCCGTTGGAGCTTCCTGCTTATAGCAGACCTTACATCATTATTTAAGGCAAGATTTGGCCTCTTAACGCTCTATGGACTCGACTCTATATCACACACACAAATATGGGAGCGACATTTTTGTCATTTTTTTGCAGCTGACAATCTGAGCCGAAGATTAAACGTCATCTTCCCTTTATCAGTTAATCAGAGCATCACCTTGAATCTCCTACACATTTTATTAAAGCAGAATGTTAAACCAAGGGCTGCTGTCTTATCATTTCTTTTGTGTCTCATTACAAAGAGATGCCAAATATAAAGGCTAAAGACTCATTCAGGTGGAATGCTTCTGGTGAGTGGGTTACTACAGTAAAATGTGTGCTGTGGCGTTCACTTCAGTGTCCTTCAGACGGAAGAAAAAGACCTTAAGAGCATTTGCGTCATCTTTCTGTAAACACCATACAACCAACACACCTACACTTACATGTACATGTATTAGCTGACATTTCTGTGGTGTTCATGCTGCGATCATGATAAATGTGTCCTTGGTTCAAGACGCTCCGGAAAGATGTGAAATTGGTCCTGTATTACACATGATGGTACTTTAAAGGCCACGCTGCTCACAGTGTGATTGCCCGTATATTGCAAGGTTTTAGACTTCCAATGTCAAGCCAGGTTTAAAAAAAAAAACAAATGGAAAGAAAATTTTAAAAAATCAAACTACTTTTTAGAATCTGTTCACCAGCGTCAGAAGAAGTTCACTCACATATTTAATGACACAATTCAGCTCATTTAAAAAAAAAGACCTTATAATAAAAACCGTTAAACTACGGTGAATTGCCACAGTCATCTGTCCTCCCACACCGAAAAATAACAAATAGATTCATTTAAGCAGATGAGTGAGTTAATGATGAATTTGAGTAGGAGGTAAATCACATTTTAATAGCAGACCCTCTATCCAAAAATGGAACAGGGACCTAAATGAAGACATTGAACTGAACTATGTCTGCATCAGACAGAGACAGCTGTGCTCATGAGTCAGGTAATGGAAGCAGTGGAATTCACTCAGAATCACCATTTATATGGCTACACCGAATAACATAAGCAAATGTAGGTGAGGGAAATGGAAGAAGCACGGCCAATAAAACAGGCCACAAACTGCCTGGATGTGTTTTGTATTCAACGTAAGAAGACGTTCCCTGGCTGGATATTTAGGGATTTTGCAGATGGAGAACTCTATTCTTTTTTATCCTCAGGCTAAAAGACGAAGCAATTAAAATAACTAGTTAGAATTAGCCTGCAGCACCAAAAGCAAAAAAATTGCATCATTTTGGTTTGTTTTCCATGAAACCAACACTTTTGCATGATGTATATTTCCTGGTAATGGCTCAGCCTAGGACAATAGGTCATCTGTAATCTAATTTGTAAATGAATCATTTGTCTTCACTGAATGTCGCTGGCAGTAAAAACTCCATCCTTCAAATGAGAGCCTCACCAAGATAATGTTTAGATAATCCAGCTCCAATGAAAAGCTTTTCAAGTGGACCTGCATGTCCTTGAACTGCAATTATATAATTTGTACCTCAGACAAAAAGTTCAAATAGCCAATAAATTATCCTTCAGTACAAAATTGTAGTATTTGAAAAGAGTGGAACTTAAATGTGTACTTTAATTGGGGGTAATACTAAAGAAAATATAAAACTGTACCGAGCATTGAGGATATAGTCACAAGTGGTTAATTTCTTCCCGGTTTGACCGAAATATAATCTGTCGAGGCTGACGAATCTGCAAAGAATAATACCAAATAAACCACAAATATGCAACAAGACATACAGGCAGATGTAGAGGTCATGTCAATATCAAAACTGTCTGATGTATCGGTACCTAGTCATCTTTTTGGCACACACACACAAGTTTGAATTTCCCAAATGAGTCATGGGTTTTAGCAGGAATAAATAGAGATATATACACACCGAAGGAAACAGAATAATGTTTTTTTGTTTCTTTTTACCCACAAGTGCTGCATTTGTTGTAAACATCTATCCTGACGACAGTGACAGCAAGAGCTCGGATGTCTTGCCAGGCGACAAAATTAAACAGATAATCATCTGTCACTGCTGATAAATGTGTTTACTATGGTAAATGTCAAACCTTTCCAATAAACAGAGGGGAAGGCATTTCGGTCTTCCCTCTGCTCTCACACGATGAAAGAGAAAAAAGTGCTTACCGTGACTTTGCTAGGCTTTACATCCCTGTACAGAACAGCAGCAAAAGTGTATGCAGTCCTTAAAAACGAAAACTGTCAAGTACAGCGTGAGCTTGTGTGAGTGTGTGCAGGAACATTTAAGTGCAGCGTCAATACATATCTGGATAAAGCAGTACTCAATATTGAAGCAATACTTATAGTAAA